TATTTTAATAAATAATATTAAATATATATTTACCTTAGTAGTTTTATATAATTCTTCATATTCAAGAATAAAATTTTTTAATATATCAGAAACTTCTAATATTTTTTTAATACAACTAATTAATGGCATATGATATAAGAAATACTTAGTATTATTATGATTTAATACTTTAGTTTTTATATATGACAAATTAAATTTCATATTATTTATATAGAGCTTTTTTTGCTTAATATTGGTTAGTAATGGAGATATAAAATAATTAGAATGTTTATTAAAAAATAAAATAATTGCATTTCTAGCTGCATTACTTAGCTTATATTTTGTAACCAAAGGCATTAAATCAGCATAAACTTAGTTAGAAAATTCATTATTTTTTTAGATAAAATCATCATTGAAATTATTTTGTATATTTTCAGAAATTTCTTTATTTAAAAAAAAATATTAGTAATATCCTTATACTCATATAAAGTATTTTCAAATTCATTAAAAATATTAGCATTAAGATTAACTTCAAAATTAATTAAAGTATTAGTATTGTTAACTTAAAGAACATATCTTCTAAATTCATATTTTCAAAATTATCAAATATAATATTCTCATTAGAAAAATTAGAAGAACTTGTATTATTTTTAGAAGATTTTAAAGTATTTTGAAAATTAATATTTTCAAATAAAATTTTTTTAGCAAAAATACTACTGTCAAATCATTTTTCTTCAAAATTGAAAAGATCAGTTTGGAATGCTTTAATAATATTCGAATAATTGTAAATATTTTTAGAAGATTGCTAAATAATGCAATCATTATCATCAAATTTATGAATACACTTAGTTATATGCTTACTTAACCTATTTCTAGTAGCAAAGCTACAGAGGTAACAAATATATGCAAAGCTTAATATTTTTAAATTTTTAAGAAATTAGAGAAAAATTTTTAGATTTCAATTTAGGTTTTAAAATTTTACAAATATTTTTAAATATAGGTAATATATTGCAAAATGTTTAATATTTGTTAAAATTAAGAAATTACTTTCTATTATATAATATAATTTTTTCTATCAATATACTAAAAGTATTTAATTAGTTATTTAATCATTTTAATTTAATTTTATTTTTTTAACATTTTATTACTTTTTTAATAATTTTCAAAATAATTTTTATTTATTTTCATTATGTTACCTATTTTTTAAATAAATTAATTAACTTTGCATATTATTAATATATATACAGATATGTAGAAATATTAAAATTTATTTTATAGATATTAAATAAATGCATTAAATGAGTTTATATTAATATTTCTATTTTAAAAATTATGCAGTAAATTAAAAAAATATTACATTTTTAAAAAATATTATTTAAGAAAAACAATTAAATTACGAATAAAATTTAGAAATAATATAATTATAGACTATGGCTATATGTAGCCATAGTACTAAATAATGGTTGGTTACACAAAATGTAAGTAAGTTGTATAAAACATGATAGTCATACTAGCAATATGAAAGTATAGTTTGTGTAATATATATGCATATGCATATAAAGAAAAAATAGATCAAAAATACTAGCTTTTAGAAAAGAGAACTAATGTAAAGTGAACATCTACTTTAATAAGATCCTTGTAGTGTTTCAATCCTATTTTTTAAAAACCATTCAGATTTAAATTCAGATTCTATCTGTGTATCTGGATAATAATCCGAATCTGGGTAAATTTGGATTCAATTAATAAATCTGGATTCTATATATAGTTTATTTATATTGTTTCAATCTTATTCTTAATGATAAGTGCAGAATAGAGTTTGAAACTAGGGTAATATTTAATATAAAATATAAAACTGGTTCTAACATTTTTGTAAAGTTATCAGATATAACATTGAGACTATAATCTCTTAATTAATACTAGAAATATAAGTGTATAGTTTAGCATTAAGTGAAATTTATATTAAGCATTTTCATTAACAGTGAATTCTTTTTGCAGATAACACGATATAGTTTTACATAATAATTAATATAGAATTGCAATGAGAAGGCGAGGTAATTATTTAATATGAAAGTTATTTCTCGAATACAAAACTTTATTTAATCTTGATTTATGTACTCAGAACTATCCTTTTATAGCAGTACTGATGATACACTACAGTATCTTTTTTTAGATTATTGAACTTTTTTAATCAAGCTTAATATAATCCGTATTTTCATTCTACTCTGGCGCAAAAACAGGCATTTTACCTAGGTTCCTTTTTAGAAATAATATTTGACCTACTAATATTGGATCTAAATTTATTTTTTTAGGGCTAATAAGGTTACTGGCATCTGAGAATAACCTTTCACTTGATACCGACATTGCCGGTATTGCAAGATACTTTCGGGCAATTTTGGCAAGTCTTAGGAAATTTTGTGAATGTATTTTCCATGAGTGTAAAGGATCTTCTGTTTTCTGTGCTAGTGGCAATGATAAGTAATTTGAAATTTCATCAATATTTTGCAGATTTGGTATCATTTTATCATTCCTTTTTCTTTTTATTTGACATTGTTGAAGCTATACTTTATGTAAACATATTGAAGATTCTGCATTAGATGGAGCTGGATTAGTTGGGATATTAGATACTGGCTCTTCTAAATTATTAAATTCATTACAAAGTTTTTGAATGACAAGTTGTTTATCAGAATCATTACCTAGAAAATCCAAACTTTTGTAACGAGGGTCTAGTAAAGTCACCATTAAACCAAGTCATTTGGATCATTCTAATAATAAATTAATGCATTATAGATATTTTGTTTAACTTTATCCAAAATACCTGTCGTGTCTAGTGGATTTTTAATTAAGATTCTTTTTTTAGTAATATTGCTAATGATTTCATCATTATCTAAATCTATAGGTTGTATTTCTTCTGCCTTCAATTCAAATACAGTATTCTCATCTGAAAAAAGATCATTATTCGATATTGCTTCATTTGCTAAATCATAAATCATTTCTTTAATAGTAGGAATAACCTTGCTTAATGTCACATATGTATTTCCTGAGAACTCTCGTGTTGCCTCTTCAAATGGTATTAGTAGATCAATTATTTTGTCTAGCAATTCTCATCTGAAAGAAGAATTTTTTTTAACTTACTACCATCTTTTTTGTCTCTCGATCAATTGATGTATATAAATCAGTTTGAAGCTGAATAATAGCATCCTTTAGAAAAAAAAAATGATCCCAAGAATAATATGATAAATTCCATCTTGTGGATATGTCTTGAATACAACGAACAATATCAGTATAACCTAATTTTTTTTGCACTTTCCCCAGTCATTCTATTTGTTTTTGTGATTGAAAAAATTAAACTAATCTTCTTGTACATACTACTAGGATTTCAGCTGGTGCAAGTCCTTTTCTGATTGCTAATTGAAGAGTATAAGCTGTGCATGAAAGACATTTAATCTTGTTACATCCATTTTTTTGATTTAGTAAAGAAAAAGTTGTGACTATATTAGATCCATTGTCAGTGATGATTGATACTATGTAATGCCCAAGATTCCAAGCTTTAATACACTTGTAAAGTTCATTAGCAATAACTTTACTACTATGTGGTGAAGGTATGTATTTATTTTCTAAAATTACATCTTTAATTTTAAAGTTTGACATAATCAAAGCAGCAGTAATTCTGAGATATCCGTGCTTGCCTCTACTGGACCAAAAATCTATTGTAAGAGAAACATTTTCTGCTGTTTGAATAAGAAGATTTTTTAGATTTTCCTGATTATATTTATAACTTTTAAAAATCATGGTTCTAATTTTCTTTTCTTCTGCTATAATAAAAGCAGGATCGAATTTAGCTATTTTTTCTTTGTATGCTTCATTAGTAACTGTAGAAAGTGGCTGGTTTGTAAGTAACATCTATTTAAGAATTGCTTCTTCACACTTCTTTTGAATGTATTTAGGATGAAGATGAACCTTCTGTACAAATTCAGTAATTTTGGAATCTTGGGGCTAAAAAAAGTTAATAGTATATAAAACTTTTGATTATTTCTATACTCAATTCCACTTTAAATCCTATTTACATGCCTTATTTAAATCTTCTTTTCCACTTTTCAAAACAATTCTATGGCCAACTCTAAGGTGTATAATAAGATTCCCTATTGAACTTCTGATATTCTTGTATTTTTGTTTACATTTTTTATCATTCTCTTTCACAAATTTGCAAACCCAAACCTCTTCTTCCTTATCATTAACCATCTTTTCAAAATATTTACGAGTAAATGATGGGTTTTTACAGTTGTATTGTTTTTTTTTTCATAATTCATTAACTAAAGCAAAATTGCAAAAATATTAGTAAATTGAAGCTTATATTTATATTTTAGCCTATATTTTAACCTTTTTCTTTTTCTGTAATAGCAAAATAAGTTGTTATTTGAATATTAGGCTTTGCAATTGCAGGTCTCTGATGAGGCTTCTGAACTTTCTTTAGCTTCAAAGTTAAAATCATTGCTATGATAATATTCAGAATCATCTTCTATCTCATAGGCTTTCATTACAGCTTATACGTGATACCAAAAAGCATCAACAAATGTCTGGCTTGCTTGGTTTTTATTATTGTCAAATAAGTTTTAATAACTGATTAATGCTTTATTGTATATTAAAAGCAAAACGCTTGATTTACAAATCTATTAACTTTCTTTATTGAATATAATTTTAATTATATTATACATATCATACTTTACAAATTGGTCTATCTATAACTAATGCTTTTATAATAAACTTATAGTAAAATTTTATCATCAAGAAATAAGAAATTCACTTAAGGAATTGGACTAGATGCATATTTGAATTGGCATAAACATTTTCTATCTTATAAGCATGCTATAAAATAACATAACTTTTCGATATTAATAATTAAAAAAAAAAAATTTTGGCTGATTAATTTTAAATTCATCTGCACTCTTTTTATATACAAACTAGGAATAGAGATATTAATAGTCTACACGAAATAGATTTTTTTATATAGTGATACTAATATATTAAAGAAAAGAAAGTTCCAGACAATTAATATCCTTAATGCTAATTTCTCAAAAGCCATCTATTCCTCTATATTTGTTACCTGGAGAGCATAAATATAGAAAAAGTTTAGATAATTGAGAAATATATGGAATGTAAAACAATTAGTTAAAGATGCATCTAGTATTGGAATTAGGGTTAAAATTTAATAGTTCTTGACTAAAAAAAAAAAAGGCATTTTAAGCACAATTTTAATACAAACACTGAACAATCTGAAATTTTACTATACTTTTTTAACTCTGATTATAAGCCTTAGACATTTGAAAATAATTAGATTGCATTGAATTGATTCAACTTTTGGGAATTTATTTAAAATAAATAAAAATAAGAAAATTATTATGATTTCTGTTTTTTTTTGTTCGACATTGATGGTTACTATTGTTCTATAATGATAACACACATTTTATTATTATGATTCCTGCCATTCTAGCTCAGATTTGGCAAGCCATATACTTGAAAATTAGCATGCAAATTAACCAGTTTTCATGAGAATTTAAACGATTATATACTTTATTTGCAATAGATTATTAATTGCATGATTATGCAAATGCTTAAAAGGCAAATTATAG